GCAGGATAGAGCAGGGTTTAGGGCTGTTGTACATAGGGTCGCTAGGAGTCGCAAATGACTCGACGGCACATAACAACAACAAAAATAGGAAGTTATAGTGGAAAGCACCATTTGCTGGGCCCCTATAACTTTTCCTGAAATCCTTCTCACATGCTTGTTATGCTTTCTACACAGGTGCTTTAATCCCTTAAACTGTTGCCATAAGATGGAGAGATGCACCTCCATGCAAGTTACATTGTCTGTTTGTCATCAAGCGGGATCAGTCATTCTAGAGTCAGTGTGATATGACAGCAGCTCAGGATCCTCTCTTACCAGGCAGTGCTTTTTCTTTAATATTGCCAGCACGCCAGTAGACTCCAAATTGGTTAAGATTAGATACGTGGGGGGTTTTGTCTTTTTCTTTTTTTTTATTGAGCCTCCTCAATCTTCCACTGAAATGACAAGGCTAAATCCCAGGAGAGGAAGCCTGAGGGGAAATTCCCACACAACTTGAAAAAATTAATTGATCTTCTAGCCTCTTAATCCAAACGAAAATGAAAAAAAAAATGAGAAGCTGGGGGTAGGGGGAAATCCACACTTTTAAAAAAGTAATTGTCATTCCACAATAATTTCTTGAGAGTATACTACATGCCAGAGAGAGGCCAGTTAGTGCTGGAAGTGAAATCATATATTCGATGAGATGTAGATCCACTGTTGCTTTCAGATGTGTGCTGTTCTGACACACTGGATATAGTCAAGATAACCTAATCCCTGTGGAAAAAGTTATTGCTGTTTTTTAAAACATCACAAGCTTGTGCTCTCTTATGTGAAGAGGTAACTCTTGGGATGAATAAATCAATTTGTCATGTGCAATATTAAGAAAGAAACCGAGAAAATAAAAAGAAAGAACTGGAAAAACTGTGTTAGTACTAGTAGCATCAGCACTGGGGTAAATCTGTCCATTATTTGTTAGAGAAGTAACTTGTCTTTCTTTGAGGAAAAGGAGAGAATAACTCAGCCTTGATTTAATAATTTTAGCCCTTTAAAAATATCCTTTTCAAAACATACTGCAAAGAGAAAAGGGAATCTAATTTCCCCAAGCTCTGCTCATTCAATGAACTGCTTCTCATGTCCCACATGCCATTTGAAAATGGCATCTCCTGGGGTTTTTGGTTTCCCCACATCTCTGAAACATGGCTTGTAGTGTAGGTTCAATAAATTGTAAAATCATATTGTATTCATAGTTGAAGATACACTAGATGTACTCCAGTAAAATATATTCCTTTCACAATTGGGGAATTGATACAGACGTTATATGACTTGCCTAAACGTGTATTTCCAACTAATGAAACAATTTTCATTCAGACAAAGGTCCATTGACTTATGTCACTATTTTAAAAACCCACAGAAATATTATACTCAGAGGAGAAAAAACTTTGGTGTTTAACATGGATTATAATGGAGGGAAATAATCAGACACTTATCAAGGGAGAGGGAAAGCCAATATCTAATAAAGGGGATGGTCAGCACCATCCACTGAAGAAGGACAGATCCTGGAGAGGTGCACAAGGAACACAAAGAGCAAAACTAAAAGCTATTCAATACACAAGTCTGCATTATCACAAATAAGAGACATCAATCTGCAAGTGGATACATGGGTAAGATTGCAAGTATGGTCCGATAAAAAGGGCCTACGCCCATGACCCTACAGATATTTGACAAATAATACTCCCGCATGCATATATTTATATACTTTAAGCATAGCTATGAGCTTAGTGATAAGAAGTTGTGCTGCCAACTCAAAGGCTCATGGTTCTAACCCAACCTTCAAAGGAGATAGATGGGGAATCTTTTTACATGTGAGTCACTGCCTCTGAAAACCTACTGGAAGGTCAGCTATGAGTTGATTCTGGCATGACAGTGCTTCACAACAACAACATATATAGCAAAACAAACAGAGTATAAAGTATGGAAACATAGCTATAACCAAGTAGTCTAAATTAGTTGTTAACCCTAGGGTCTCAGGATCAATGGCTCAAAAGATATGAAGACTAGTTGTTTTGGCGTAGGTTTAAACTTTGTTTACTAATTACCAGGGTCTTAAAAGCATTCAAGTAATCATCTAAACTCTGACTATGGACCTCACCATGTCCAGTAGAAGGAAAAGTGAAGAAGAAAATCAAAGATGCATAGAAACAATTAGTCTCACAGACTAACGAACCATGTGAACTTCAATGTCTGCTGCCCTGAGATCCAAAGAACTAGATGGGTCCTGCGCACATGGAAAGGAATCACAGGAAAGGGGCCTGGGCAGGATGGGACAAAAATATGCAACTAAGCTCAAAATGGTAAAAGTAGCCAAATTTGCTTGTCCAGTAGCGAGGGGTGGAATTCCTGAGACCATCGTCCTAAATTCCCCTTCGAGCCTGGCACACAAGTCACTCCTGTGGCTCCATTCTGAGACAAATTATTGACAAACCTGTTCTTTTGTTCTGTTGAGTCACGTGCAACTCCTAGTGACCTTGTGCACAGCAGCTCTAAAGCCTGTCCTGTCCTCAGCCAGTCTCACCTACTCCCATTACCTCAGTTACTGCATAAATCCATCTCATCTGGTGTCTTCCTCTCCTGTGCTGTCCCTCCACCCTTCCGAGCATGATGTCCTTCTCCAAGGACTGGTAATAAAGTGAAAACACCAGGGAGGCAAAATTACCAGAGAAGAGTAAAAGGGAAGCTGTTTCCCAGGAATAAGCTCAGAAGACAGGAGGGGAGAGGATGGAAGGAAGAATGGGAACTGGAATGACACAGAGGAAGCAGAAGGAGTACTCTGGTAATGTGGGGAGTATCATTAATGTCATCAAGCAAAATATGCTTGAGTGGAAAACAATTTTTTTCTTAAAGTTTAATGCAATTCATGTAAAGAAAGCTAAAACAAAACCCCAAACAAACCACAACAAAGCAAAACAGAGAAAAAGACTAAGGTTCCTTGACATACAGTAAAGAGTTCTTTCAACTCTTTCTCACTGTCCTTAGAAATCTTCAAACATGTGTAGACATTTTATTTCATTCAGTGGGCAATAGAAAATGAGGATCAAAAAAAGAGAGATCTTTTTTCTTTTACTTTTCCAAGAAAGGAACGAACTGGAGGGGAGGGATAGGCAGGGAGAAAGTGCAACAATGAATGACCGGAAATCCAAAATCTCTGTAAATTTTCATAAAAATTAATAATAATAATAAAAATTTCCAAAAAAAAAAAAGATCTTTTTTGAGGGGTTAGCTCTTAAAGGTCTCTTTACCAGGGTATCATTCCTGACCTTTTAAATGTGAAGACAGCTTCTAGGCATGACAGTAGCCCAGCCCTGTCCCTGCCCTCCCAGATTCTAATGACAGCAGCCCAAGGACTCACCTCCAAAGCTGTCATGTTTTTCAGGTTTGCCTCAGACAAGGCATTCGCTTCCCTGATTTTATCTGTGGCTTCTCTCAACAGGTCCCAAGCATCGTCAATTTTGCTGTTGTAGTCAGCAAGTTTCTCGCGGATATCCTGCTCCATTTCTTCATTTTTGCCCCGAGACTCTCCAAACAGCTTCTTCACTTTCTTCAGAAGACCTTCTGCAGCTCTGCAACCACCCAGCCCAACAACAAGACAGTAAGTCCGGGCTACTGCCTCAGGTATCCTTGGGATTACACCACATAACAAAGACATATGAACATTAAGGGAAAGAAAGAAGGACAAAGCACTTACACAGATTTGTTATGTACTTAAAGCAAACTGAGAACTATACTCTGAAAATCAGTGAGAACATTTAGAGTTAAAATTCATGCCAAAAACTCCCTCTTTTCTATTTATTAGCAGCATAACATTTTTTTTTAAATTTAGGTTGTTTATTTTTCATTTCAATGAACATCTACAGAGATTTTGGGATTCCA